TGATAAGTAGGAATTTATGAGGAAATATGGACAGAGGATATTCCTTAAAGGGAACAATAGAAAACAATAAATGCTTGTGCAGAAAACATGAAAGGCCCTGAATGGCAACGATTGAACCCTAGAAAGTAGGTTGGGGCAAACTATGAAGGATTTTGAAGACATGCTGAGCACCCGAATTCTCCCCACTTCATCACAGTCAGCCATGGAAAGGTTTTAAACAGGAGAATGACAAGTTCACATTTGTATTTGAAATTGGCAGCTGTGCCACACGTGGTGGTGAGAACTGATGGGGAGTCAGGGGCTCTGGAGACTGATAATCTGATGAAGCTTTCAACTGTGGCTGGACAGTTGAGAATAAAGGAAAGGAGAAGCCCTCCCCAGGACAAACCAGCAGGAATTCTCCAGTCACTACATGGAGCAGAGGACTATATGAAGGTTACTAAACAGAATGAGTGACTGGTGGCTATTTGCCAAGGTAGGGCTTGTGGGAGAAGAGTGCCAAAGAAGGGAGTTGGACCTACTTAGATGGAAATGCCTGTGGGACACTGAATTGGCTGCTTTTTCTGACAGATAGGATAAGGGCTTCCCTGAGTTTGGTCCAAAATCATGACTGGAATTGCTACTCTAAAAGACAATGAAAACTGAATCCAAATTAAATAAAATATGTGAGTGTATTATAAATATATGTCCTGTTAAGCAAATTTGTTTATTAGAATACTGAAGATAGATATGTTTAGGGCTCGTGGAGTGGCTGAAGTGGTAGAGCACCTGCCTTACAAACACAAGCCCTGAATTTAAACCCCAGTACTGCAAAATTGGACTTTTCAAGATAGATTTTTAAATACATATTACTGAAGTTTATATATGGGCAAAAGAGAAACTATTTGAGGAGAAAAACTGAAGCCTAGAAATCCAAGGCACAGGGAAATGTGCATGAGGGAAAATCCCTTGTTGTCCAGGGAACACAAGGCAGAGCATTGGTTTCTACATCTCACCCTTCACCCTTTCCCAGAAAAGATAAACAACAAAAATCTATCATAATCAGCAATTTGATGTTCTTCCCAAGACACAAAATGAACCCAAAAATGACGCACCCATGAAAAGATTTTAACTCCACCCAGTCATGATGTGGACATGGCTCATTTTGCAATATGTTGCTTCACTACAAATCCTCCACCCAACTCTTGGGCTGCTAACTTGAATAACACTTTTAGCTCTCAGGGTTAGATGTCCTTGTTCTCTCTCTCTCTCTCTCTCTCTCTCTCTCTCTCCCCCCCCCCAGCCCCTCTCTCTTCACTGTCTGTCTCTCTGTCTCTCTCTCTCCCTTCCTTTCTCCCTCACCCTTCCCTCTACTCTACTGGGGTTTGAACTCAGAACAGAGACTCTACCACTTGAACCACATTCCTAGCCCTTTTCTTGTTTTTAGTTATTTTCACATAGGGTCTCATGTTTCTGTTTTTGTTTTGTTTTCCCCTCAAATCATGATCCTCCTACCTATGCCTCTAGAATAGCTGGGATTGCAGGGTTGAACCACACCTGGCTTATTTGTTGAGTTGGGGTCTTGCTGACTTTTGTCTGGGTTGGTCTCAAACCATGATCTTCCTGATCTCTGCCACATGAATAGGTGGTATTATAAGCATGAGCCACCTAAGCCTGCCCCCCCTTGACCTTTGGAAAATACCACACATACAAATAGGCCCAGCCCTGTTTACTTGTGCTTGTGAATGTGTGTGTGTGTGTGTGTGTGTGTGCGTGATTGTTGCTTTGCACATTAATGAAAATTTATTTTAAAAATAGCTCTTAAAACATGCCTATAATCCAGCATTCATGTAGGAGGATTATGAGTTTGAGGGCAGCCTGGGCTACATAACAAGATCCTGTCTCAGAAAGGAAAAAATAAAATAGGTCTTAAGTCAAATGTCCTATTATTTTTACCAAAAATGCAAAGCTTTTAAACTGTATTCCATTCAGTGGTATATCTCCTTATGACTGTAGATTTACATCGCAGTTTTGATTGTGACTCTGATCAACCCCAGATGCTGGGGAAAGGAATGAAAGGACAGGGAGAGATTTTTCCAGATGAACGTGGCAGGGTTTCAGGAGGGCACAGAGTTATTTCCACGTTAGGTGGATGATTCACCCTGGCACATCCCTGACTCATGGTATGTCACCTGCATGTGTGGCTGAGAAGCTGGCTCACTGGGTTTTCTGACTCACTGATGTAACATTTCCCTTCAAGACTGTATTCTTCATTTTAGTGCTTTTCCAAATTAATGGTTTAAGAGAACACAACTCACTCTTAAGAGAACTAGTCCACTCTGAGAGACTAGCATTGATTCCTTCCAAAAGCAGTGCCTCTGTGACCTAAACATCTTCCACTAAGCCTCCACTGGGGACTAGGCTGCCAGCATGTGAACCTTTGGGGGATAAACCACATCTAAGCTATAACAAAAAGGTGTGATTCAGATACTTTGTAAGCAACTTGGAGGGAATAAAGCCACATGTAAAGGAATCCTCACATTGTCTCTCCTCATTAACTAGAGGCAGGGTCCATCTACAGCCATCTTCTTCCCTTCTGTCCATAACAAACAATAAGTTGAATGATTCACACAAAATAGCATGGACACCTCCCGTCATCCTTCGTGAAAGCTGTTGATTCCTCCCTGACTCTTAGACCTACACATAGACCTAGACCTGCGGCATCTGCCTTTACCTTTCACTTCTGAACCTGAGAGCTCACCTGCCTGCCTGTGTGGTCTGACCCCAAGCTTTTAGTAAATGGTTTCCTTGGACTCAAATATATGCCACTCTGTCCCAGGGTATATACATACACCTGTCTCTTTAGATTGTGTCTGCAAGTAAAGGTTGTGCTGGTTCCATGGCCTTTATCTTGCTCTAACAAGAGTCCCCTTCCTGGCCCCTCCTGACTACCCCAGTTTTAGACTCCCACGCTTCTGTAAGACGGTTCCTCCACTGGAAACCAGATAAAGTGATCTAGAAAATTAACGTATTTCTTCAAGTCAAAATAAAACATAGAAAACTTAAAACTTGGAATGACTATTGAGGAGATTCAGGAATTGTAGTTCACAGTAGCTTTTGTATTTCACAAAAGGGAGGGAGAGACCACTTTTCCTTCTTAAAATTGGGAGAGTAGAAAATACCTGACAGGACAATTAAGCAAGGAGATTTCATCGTGTGAGATTTCCTAAGTGATAAGCAGAAGATTTCTACTAAGGATAATTTGAGAAGAATAAGCACTGGCTCTTCAGGGTGGATGTTTGGAGGACATACATAGGTTCTCCCAGAAAGGTTTTTTCACCTGTCTTTCTTCTGATTGCTCAGTGTCAATGCTGTGCTGGGAGTGCAATGGTTTTAATATCAACTCTGGTTTACCGAGCAGTTCTTGGAGCATAATTAGTGCTAAATTATGTGTTGTTGTTATCACCAGCATCGTTATATTGCTTTCATGAATTGGAATGTTTTATAAATCCTTTTGAGTCATTTTTAAGAAAGCATAATCAGTAGGGCAAAAGTACTGCTTACACACACATATTTTTATAGTGATTCGGTAGGCTGTGAGAAATGAAAATGTGTTACCACTGAAGTATTAGTCTGAAGTCATGTTAAAGGGCGAGCTCTGTGTTTTTAGGATGATTTATTTTAGGAAAAAGAGATCTGCCTTGATTTGGCCTATTTCAGCAAATAATTTTTTTGAACACAAATACACATACACATGTAAACACCCACACATAGATAATAGTATTATGGTTTTGGATTTAAAATCTTTCTCTTTTAGACCAACGTACTGAATAGATACGGAAATTCATATTTGTTTGCAAATCTATGGAGGAGCTGGGTGTAGTGGTGCACATCTGTAATCCCTGCTCTTAGGAGGCTGAGGCAGGAGGATCACAAGGTTGAGGCCAGCCTGGGCCTCATAATGAGAGCCCAGAACGCCAAAATCATCATCATCTATTGAGAGGCAATGCAGGTAGAGTTAAAATTAAAAAGTCATAATTTGATAGTTGTCAAAGCTAGACAGCAAGTACAATGATCATGTCATTCTCTCTGCACACACACACGTTTATATATATTTATATATAACAGATTTTTAAATTTCCATATGAAAACACAGATGCATGTATATATGTAATCAGGGAAATGTTTGGCTTAAATACATTCATCCCCATACCTACTACAGTGTAAAAGCCATGTAGTAATTACAGTTACATATCACTTAATAATGGGGATAAGTTCTGAGACATGCCAATGGGCAATTCCATTGTTGTGAGATCATAGGATGTACAGACTGACACCACTGTGACATCACCAGGCAATATAATCACAAGACCATGATAGTTTAGGCAGTCTGTCCTTGGCTAAAAGAAAAGCATTAGTCATTATGTGGTGTGTGACTATTGTTATACTGTATTTTTCAGGGAATCGGGACAAGGAAAAAATATGTACATATTTAGTCCAGAAAAAAATTTAAATATGTTTGATCTGTCATTGGTTAAACTGTGGATATTGAGGCCACTGTAATCCATGCTGATCCTCTACCTTACGAGACCTTTTAGTTTGAGCCATCATCGACATTAATCTTAGGGTGTAGAGTATTTGGAGCTCTTAGAAATATCTTTGCCACATTTCTTACCTCACAGATGAAATAGTACACGCTGGTAATCGGTGGCTAGCGGTGTACTATTCCTATTTCTTCATTCCTCAGTCCAGCCGTGCCAAAATGTCAGGAAAGAGATAGCTAGTTACACCTCCCAAGGCATTCTGCCCTATTTATCACAACGCAACACAATTTTCATCTCTTGGATAGTTGCTTCATTTGGTTTAGGCAAAGAAAGATTATAATATTTAAAATGGCTTATTTCCATTTCTTTTTACTTGACTATATGGCCTTTTTAGTTCTAAATATTCATTACCCAATACTTCCAAATAAATGTACCAAAAACTTCTTTCATTTCAGAGATATCTTTGGTAAACATATTTAATCACTCCTGGCATATCAGTTTTAGTGTAAGCATTTAAATGGAGATGAAGTTTATATAATTACCCTGACATAATGAGGGTATGAGGGTTTCTAACTTTGTAATAAGGTATCCTATGATGAAGTGAATTGCAGAGCAATATACACTTTGTTCACTTGGCTCAATGGAGAATAGTTTAAAGTGGAAAAATAACATTCAATTTTTGCCATCCACCAAGTTCCAGGGTTTGGCTCAATTTTGGACCATACAAATTGGACAGTGGTCTGGTATGGAATTTCAGTGTAAAATGAACCTTTCCCTCCATATAGTTCTGTTCCCAACTTATCTCCTCATGGATGGGGCTGGTAGAGAAAACACAATGTTTATCCACAGATTAGCTTTTATCAGACTATTGATATCTTCTTCCTTTTTCAGATGGGTGAGTCCAGTGAAGACATAGACCAAATGTTCAGCACTCTGCTGGGAGAGATGGATCTTCTGACCCAGGTAAACTCCTCTTCTTAACCTGCAAATTTGGGTGGGGGGTGGAATTACAGAATTTGATTTAATGTAACAAGAGTAGAGTCTTTGAAAAAAACTGAAGATTAGCAATATTACATATGATATATATTCTTGATAAAACAATGAAGCTTTTTCCTGATTCTATGCTTCTGAGTTCAGTTAATTTAATATTTTGGTTACACATGCATTCTGTTATGGCAGTGTTAGTATTTATTGTGTCCAATGAAGGAATCCTCCTGACCCCAAATCCTCCAACAACCACTACCTCTGAGCAATGTCCCCTGTGGTTACCTTTATGGAGACTAGCTGAGAAAATGGTGTTGTCTTTAGTAAAATCTTTTTACCAACCTTTGAGGAAATGCTATATTTTAAAGGACTAAGTGGAAATGAGTGTGTCCTCCTGAGGGGATCATAAGAATTTAGACCCTAAAAGGAGCATGAGTGCCATTCAGTCGTAGGCAGGGAAAAAGCAGGGTCAGCAAGAACAGATTGATTCAGAGGTCATCCCACTGTCAGGTCAGTCAGAGCCCAGCAGCTGGAGACTCAAGGATCACTGACCCAGGTTGCAGTCTGATGTTCTTTGGTGTGCTTTGTAGTGTGCCCATAAATGCTTCTTTGATTTAGAGGTATTCAGCTCATTACTTTCTGTACAAAATAGCAAAAAAAAAAAAAAAAAGTAACCCTGCAGTCCTAAATGAGATAAATATCTCAAGTTTTCTACAAAATAAATGGTCTGTGCTTGGAAAAGCCATTTATTTTAGGAAAACTAAATCAGTTTTAGCTAGCAACTACTTTCTCTTGAGGAAACAGTATTTTTAACTTAAAAGTGAATGGTTTTTGCTTCTTTCTTTATCACGCCCAAGTGGATATCGTCCTAGGGTTTGCTTAGTTAATACAGGTCTCCCAACAGGTAAGTCCCAAGGTTTTAGGGTAAGGAAAAGGTCCTACGTTGTACTTGGGTCTATCACCTGTTCTTCAATTTGACCATTATCAGCCTTTGAGATTATTGGGTATTTCCTAGTCATTCAAAAACTGCTATTTTGATTCCCATTTGTGAATTTTGTATCTATTCTATTCTTTAAAACTGGGGTATGATTGAGAGAAGTAGATAAGCCATGGTCTCCCTAATTTCCCCAAATAAGCAAGAATTAAAGGAAACTAAAATGTAGTTATGTGATTGTGACCATTTTCTTTTGAGAGTGAAGGATGCAGCTCAGTGGTAGCGTACTTGAGTAGCATACACAAAGCCTTGGGTTCAATCCCTAGCACCACACACATACAAAAAGTTGAAACATTTTTCTTTTGAAGTAATTTCAGTCTTACAGAAAAGTTGCTGTATTGAATGTTCATCAGGCTTCCCTTTGCTAGGCAATTTTTTCATATTCACTGTTTTTAAAAATGAATTCACAAATTGTGGTCACCTTTCCCTATATTTTATCCTTGACTCTTTTTAACATCTTGATCAATGCTGTTTTATTTCCTGCTTAAATTTGATTATATTTCATTAATTTATTTTTAAATATATACTAATTAGTTTCCCATAGAACCTTAGTAAATGAACAAGGATATTATTTGCCAAACCAAATTAGCCTCAAGAAATGCATTCAAAGTCATTAAAACATTCATACTTGAGAACAACCAAGTCATTTCTCATATTACAGACATAACATTTAAATTGTAAATATAACTGTTAAACATACAAATCCTTTATTTCCAAATAAAAAATAACATTTATTTACAGATTTAATAACTTATTCTGTCATAATTTCTTTAATTTCTTTTTTACTTTTTGTGGTACTGGGGTTTGAACTCAGGACCTCATGCTTTCTAGGCAGGCACTCTACCACTTGAGCCACTCTGCAAGCCCTTCTTTAATTTCTTTCTTTTTTTTTGTGGTGCTGGGGACTGCATCCAGGGCCTCACATAGGCAGTAGCTCTACCACTAAGCTATGTCCTTAATTTCTTTTAATAAGAGTATTGTTAGATAAAAGTAAAAGCATAACATTTTACTATACGATGGCAGATTATATCCTGAAACTGTTTTTCTTCTCCAAATGACTAGATGCTTCTTTCTTTGATTTCAGTACTTACGTCCTTTTAAAACTATATGTAGTATATGTGTTTATCATTATAAGAAATTTTCTCTGCTGTTTATAAAAAGTTATCTCATTCTCATAATTCTCAATTAGTCATTTCAAGAAGTTCCTTGTAATTTTCTGTACGGGGAAATTGCATAAAGCATTTCAAGTAAGAACATGGTCTTTAAAGAACACATTTAGACAGAAAATGGTAAATAATGAATGGTTTTTGCCTCACTGCTTGAAATGAAAGATGTTGGTATGCTGAGTGATTCTTGAGGCCTGGGATCTGTTTTCACAGAGTTTGGGAGTTGACACTCTTCCCCCTCCTGATCCTAAACCACCCCAGGCTGAATTTAACTACAGTGTGGGTTTTAAAGACTTAAATGGTAAGCACAATAATTTCTTTATTAAGTATTTTGAAATCATAATGATGACTAAAATCTGTATGGAACTATAATTTGAATAGAAATTAAAGTACTTGGACATCATGATAAATATTGTTTAGATTCTGGATTTCAGATTGTATTTTACTGTGTTTAGATTGAATTAAGAAAGCCAATTAGATATTCTTGTCTATAATGAAAGGTAACTACCACATTTGTGAAAAGTCTCAAAATGATCTTAGTTTTTGAAGAAGTAAGGAGAGTTTCTCATGATTACTAAGAAGCAATATAATATCACACAAAAAAGTGTCCCTTAAAGGATAAAAATAAACTATTTCATAATAATTGATGTGTCTTATTTAAATTGTTTTAATTTATATCAGATGTACTTATCTATAATTTACTCTGATTGACATCTTTTGAATTCCCCTAAGATTGACACATTATTTTATTAACAAAAATTTCTCCTTATTTAGTACAGAGATAACCTTCAGATCACATGCTATTCAAATGATAAGAAATCTTGAAGTAATCACTTCCACATTAGTGAAAATTTGCTGTATCTGCTAATGATTTTTTGCAGTACCAAGCAAAAGTATAAAAAACAAAATGAGAGAGAAGCTCAGTCACAGACATCCAGAGTTCCAAGTTTTATTTCTGTCCTCACTGAGTTTCTTCATTTCTGTCATTTTCAGTAACTTTTTGATAAACCAAATGATGCCAATGACTGTTTCTCAATAAATTATAATATGTGTCTTCTTATTTTCTCTTTTTATTACTCTTTTCTGTTTGCCACATAAGCTTATTATTATTACTGCCAGTCATTTCCACCAAGTTGGTAACATTCATGAAGATCCATGAAAGGGTACACTTAAGCCGGGTATGATGACACACTCCTGCCTGTTATCCCAGCACTTAGGAGGCAAAGGCAGGAAGATCATAAGTTTGAGACCAGCCTGGGATACATAGCAAGACCCTGTTTCAAAAAAAAAAAGGAAATCTATGACAGCAGTAGGTAGCATTACTTGAATGTGTGGGTGATGCAGATTCAGCCTCATTATACTCGAAAGAGCTGAGTGTTTTATATCAGTTCTCCTTATAATTAAAATCTAGTCAACATTAAATAGTCCAGCTATAGTTAATTCTGCCTATGTTTTCTAAGCAGAAAACATAATGTCGGTATCAAAAAAGTACTGAAAATGATAGAAAATAAATTCAGCAATCTCTAAACTAGCAATGTTGCAGGACAGTAAAAAGAAATCTCACTAAGGAGACGAGGCGCTCATATGGCTTAATTTGAGCATACAAGACCATTAAAATGTACTGATGAGTATAGAAAACGAAATCTTTTGAGAATTAGTTTAGGGACAAAGTTTTTACTGTCTTCATGTTAAAGCATTGCTAAAATGAGCTAAAAATATTTTGCTTAAAGCCATTCAAAGAGTTAGTGGCAAACTGAATGGAATCCAGTCCTGTCTCTTTCTTCAATTTCATATTATTCAACTCTATATTAATATAATGAATCTGAATTAATACATCTCATCTATATGAATAAATTTAGGGTTATTGACATACTAATAAGATGTTAATAAATAATATGATGTAATATATTAAATTTTCCCTGAAAAATAGTACTGTAAGTATCATTATGGTGATTCTGTCACCAAAGTATTGTAAGTTGCATAATATATTATATAATATTGAATTATATTATAATTGTAATACTTATGAAAAGGGTTTTTATCAACAGTCAAAATGTGATTATGTTAGGAATTTATGAACAGGTTTCATTAGTTCTTTATCTTTCCTCTGAAAAAATTTTAAATGAATTTAACTTTATTTCATAAAGAAGTAAAATGTAAAAATGGCTTACACTAAAATAAATCTATTTTACACATTTAGGTAATCAAAACTTTAGTATAACCATTGTATACTAAATTATTAGTCCTGATGTAATGTGCTCTGTGGTGTTGGCAATGTTTAGCAATAAATTATCTCACAAAGATTCCTGCTTATTTCACTGAGTAGGCTTCATTCCTGAAGCTCCTCGTTCTGGTTCATCCCACACAGAGCAGCTAGAATTCCACCTCCTCGTTGTCCCTTTTGTCATCCTGCCATCCTTTGTTCACCACACTCCCCACCTGTGTCCTGATCATCAACACCCCGCCATGCCAGGCAACCCAACCAACTTTCCAGCTCTTACATGTGATCTATGCAGTAATCTCATACCTGGAAGAAATTCTAAAGTGAACTCTCCTCCCTCCTCTTCACTAGAAAAGTCCATGACTGCCCTTTCTTATAAAAATTCCCAGCTCACTGTCTTCCTAAAGTCTTTACATTTAATACCATTTTAAATCCTTACCAACTTTTCTGCTTTAATTCCTGCTGCTCTTTCTTTGAATGTCAGATTTCCTGCAGAGCCTACAGAAGCTCCCTCTATATCCCAATGGTATATTAAACCCAGTTGGTTGCAACCTACTTTTTCCCAAAAACATTTATCAGCAATAGTCTGTCTTTCCTCCAAATGCTTGGGGAGAACTCACCTTCCAGCCATCTCTAATATCCTCACTCCTCTACTTTTCTAAAATCCTAAGATTTGCAGTAAAATGTTTAAGAATTCCCTGTATTTGTATTCCATCTATTTGTATGCTTCTATCTGACTTTATACCTGGTATGTGGGATGTCTCAGTGTAGAATTCATTTTCTTCCTCTTCTTTTCTTCCTATTAGAAGCTCATTCTCATTAAGCACTCAATAAATGCAGCAATAATTATTTCAGGAATCCCTGTACTTGGGTTTATGCTTCTAAATACAAATACTTTTAACCTTTTTCATTATATCATAACGAATCAAAATGATGATTCCCCTCAATAAAAATTGTAGCCTTAAAATTATCTGCCTCCAGTATTTCCAGGTGCAAATAGTTGTTTTTATCAGTAATGTGATTTTCCCTACTAGAGTCCCTAAATGCACTGGAAGACCAAGATTTAGATGCTCTCATGGCAGATCTGGTAGCAGACATAAGCGAAGCTGAGCAGAGGACAATCCAAGCTCAGAAAGAATCTGCTAAGAATCACCATCAGTCAGCACCTCTGGAAGCTTCAGATTGTAGTGGTGTAGCCTCTCTTGGTTATGGCGCAAATGCTGCCGCAATCAGTATCAGCCAGTATGAGGATAACTTACCACCTCCACCGGCTGATCCCATGCTGGACCTTCCACCTCCTCCTCCACCTCCTGAGCCTCTTTCTCCGGTAAGTGCATGGGGGCCAGTGATGGCAGAACCTTTGACCTTCTTTGAAGCGGCAATTATATTCATAAATTTGTTGCCCAAAGCTATGAGCTGCTAAAAAACAAGGGTATTGACTATGTACATTGCAAAGTCAGAGCGCCCCCATAAACAAGATGCATAGGTGATGTCTTCGTGTGTTTTCTGTAACTGAGTATGATGCACTGGGCAACGTATAAAGAATTTATTCAGTTCAAGTTCTGAAGACTGGACGTGTAAGACTGCGGTACCAGCATCCACTCAGCTTCCCCTGAGGCCTCCTTCTGCATGCTAAGATGGTCAAGAGCGTCATGGTGAGACAAAGCAGGTGTGCTGAACAATGTCACCCCTTGATAATCCACTAAGCCATTAGTTAGCTAATCCAACACATGAAGGCTCTGCCCTCATGAGCCAGTCACCTCTTAAAGGTCCCACTTGATAAGCAGTTATCTACAACTTGAACCTTGTCCCCATCCCTTTTGTGTTTTAGTTATTTTTCAGATAGGATCTTGCTTTTTGCCTGATGGCCTTTTACCACAATCCTATCTATGCCTCCCACATAAGTGAGATTATAGAAACAAACCACCATGCCCAGCTTGTTGGTTGAGATAGGATCTTGTTAACTTTTTTCGTGGGCTGGCCTTGAACTGTGATCCTCCCACTCTCCACCTCCCACATAGTATGGGTTGTAGGCATGCACTAAGTATCACTTATAATATCATAGTTGGGGAGGATGTCATAAAGCAGAAAGGTAATAAGTGCTTGATATTAATACATTTCTGAATTTTAGAAAACTGAATAGTTCACATTGTCATTATTTGTGATGTTGACTCATACGTCTCTCGTGAAAATAAGAAGAGGACTTTTAAGGGTTTTTCTTAGAGTGAGCCACTTCAAATTGTTTTAAAGTAAGAATCCAGCTCAGTTTCCTGTGTTGTTCTCATTTATGAGCTGAATGCTGATGATAAATACAACCCTCCCGGCCCTGGAAGTTCCTACACATCGTTTGAATGAACAGATTTTAAATATAAATCAAGAATTAAATCATACTTTATCACACGCATTGTCCCTTGTGTGATTAGTATAGAAAACTTATTTGAAAAGTGGTAATGAATGTAGAGCTCTAACACAGGTGGGGTCCATGAAGCCTTCAGGGGCCATGAATTCCGACAGTAAATACTAAGTCAAATGCACACATGAGCTCTTATGAAATTCCTCACTTCCAACCCATTTTTAAAGGGACCTGTGACTTAAAATAATTACAAGAACCATTGGCATAAGGAAGTATATGTGTTATTTCAAGCAAGTAAAGCATAACCAGACAGTTCATTTTCTCATCATTATAAATAGAGGCTTAATAGTCCTATTCTTATATTTTTAACTTCCACAATTCAAAAGAAATTTGGGTTCAAAAAATACTTCACTGTCTTCTCTGTCTGCTCATGTGTGTTCATCAGTGGTTTTTTTATTTGTTTGTTTTAATGATTTATAAGGTTAAGTTTTAGCCTAAGTGTTAACTTTTGGGGAGTTAAGGACCTTTTTAAGAATCTAATAAAACAGCTGGATGTAGTGGCACATACCTGTATTCCCAGCATTCAGGAGGTTGAGGCAGGAGGATGGAGTTCCAGGCCAGCCTTGGCTACATAATGAAACTCTGTTTTAAACCACTGCACCCCTCAAAAAGAATCTAAAAAAAGTAGGAATCCCATAAAAAGACATCTAAACCAAGAAGATACATGTAATTTCAGGAAGTGCTCAACTCCTTTGAGATGGGCCCATTTGTAGATTCTGTTGGTTGCTCCCCCCAGTTTGTGGGCCAAGCAGAAAGTTTTGAGGCCCTTACTAAGGTCATCATTTCATCTTCTACACTGAAATTCCCATGGTATAAATGGTGACTGCTTTCTATATCATTGGGTTGAATATTTTGCCACTTAAATTAATATTAAATGTTAATTAATATTTAGTCATTTAAATTCTGAAAATCAAGTATGTGAAATTGGGTACCTTCTGTTTACCATTAAAAAATTAAGACACCAGCAATAGCAGGAGTAATCACTCACTTGTATTAACGGGCTGTACTGAATATCTTGCCATTTTACAGGAAGAAGAAGAAGCCCAAGCCAAAGCTGATAAAATTAAGCTAGCATTGGAAAAACTGAAGGAAGCCAAGGTTAAGAAGGTAAAGTGTGAATTGCATTTGCCTGGGGGGGGCGGTTAAACTCATATTATTCTTAATGTTTAAGAATAAAATGAGAATTTCAAGTGGTACTTTCTAATTAGTTGTCAGTTAATAAAATTCTAAGGACAAAGATAAATCATTTAGTTTTTCTCTGTGTAATGTCAGTTGGCTTATTTGTGATTGATAAACAAAGAGGACCTCCATTAGTATGAAAGTGGAAAGCTTGTACATGATTTTTTGTTGGTTTACACATGATTTATTCTGGGAGTTGCAATAGTGAAAGTAAAATTTCCCTTTAGTAAAAAGGCGAAAGGTTTATACAATCTGAAGAGAAACCAGGGTATAGAATTTCTCTTTAGTAAGAAAGGAAAAGGCCCTTGGTGTGACTGCCACATGGGCAAGGGGTCCTTTTAGCTCTATTTTGAAATTTTTTAACAAATCTGTACATCTAGGTTTCCTCCCCCCAGGGGTGCTCTTGGGACTTTGCAGTCCTTCCGGCTCACAATAGGTGGTGCCATCTTCTGACCTGCCTTTTTTGTGTCAGAGATCAACTTCACCTGGCCTGGCAAGTCAGCAATTACTTATGCATTTTTTCACCTCCCCTGGGGGAAGCCTCCAGCCCTGTTACCTGCTCTGACTAACCAAGTCATACCCCCAGGAGCCATACATTTTTTTGTTTGTACTCTGGTTTCTAAGTTGCCTACATTTTGAGTCTTCTGATCTCAAGCCTGCTTTCCCAGTAAGTCTGAAATTTTATTGTGCATTTTTTGCAAAATAGATTTTTCAGGAAAACATGTATTAACATAGAAACAGCTATGTCTAATCTCGTTAGAAGACTATACCTAATAATAAAGTTTGAAAAATGGTTAATTTGTAAAGTAAGGGAAAAATAAAAGTCTTCCTCTTATTTCAACTCCTGAACATCTAACATCTGAAACTCAGTGAGAACTTTCTTAATTGTAGTTAGACGGATTATCCTTTTCATATAAGGCCTCAAACTCTATTCCCACAGCACCTATCATGGTTCTTTGAACGAAAGCATTCATTACATGTTGCTTGCTTTAGAAAATATTCCGGACTGTCCCTAGATCTGGACTTTTAAGTTCATCTAGAGGGGTCTTTTCTGGATCAGTCTGGCTCTGTTCATTGCAAACATGCATGGACTTTGTTATCATTTTTCTTCCTTATTGTCCACATATGGTAATGTGTGAATCAGCTTTCCATTACTGAGATAATCAACTTTTAAGCAGAAAAGGTTTATTTTGGCTCACCGTTTCAGAGATTTCAGTCCATGGTCACTTGGCCCTGTCGCTTTGAACCTGTGGCAGTATAGTACCTCATGGTGGGAGTGCATGGCAGAGGTTGCATGTACATCTGGTGGCAGCCAGGAAGTGGAAAAAAAAAAAAGAAAGAAAGAAAGCACCAGTGTGCCAATGTACCCTTCCAGAGCACACCTCTCAGTGACCTAGCTTCCTCCCACTCTACGCCCCACTTCTTAAACATTCTGCCACCTTCCAGTGGTGCCATAGGATAGGGACTTTGGGGACACTTATCCAAACCACAGCAGATTAAATTCCACACTCAGTCATTGGAATTACATGTCCTTGGTTGCCTTGCCTACTCTCAAACCCTGGCCACATCCATCCCTGCTACCCAGCCCTGTGTGCTCACTGCCACCTGAGCTACCCTGATCCGGTCACTCTCCCATTAACCTGGAAAACCATGTATACCATATCTTCTCTTTTAAAAGCTCCAGAACCTCTTTCCTCATCCTCTTTCTCTCTGTTTATATTTTGCTGCCAGTTTCACTGTGCAAAGAGAAGCAATTGAAAGAAAAGTTCCACAAGCTCCCACTGACACCTTTCACCTGCATGGGTACACCCGTGTCCCATATTCCTTCCTGAGATGAGGGATGAATGTCCACGCTGTGGTCTGAGACCAACCTCCCCATTTGTGCCCCAGTTCCCGTTCTCTCCTCTTATCTTCCTCTGCTCAAAAGGCTCCAATGGATACCCATCTTGCACACTGAAGCCAGCATCCTCACAGTGGTCGAATGTCCCTGTATGATCTGGCTGTGTTTGTCAGCCCGACCTTACCTCCCACCATTCTCTCCCTTGTTCACCCCATTCTAGCTACCTGTCCTCAAGGCTTCACCTCCAGGCAATCTCTTGCCCTGGGAACACTACCCATGTCCCATCTTCCTTGGATTCTGGGTAAATTCACTCGGACCCTCTCTGAAGTGTTCATTCACTTCAGTGAGGCCTTCCTATCACTGTACACATATCCCCAAAACTGTCCTTCCCTACTTTGTTTTTCTCCTCAGTGCTTTTCACCATCCAACATACTAAGTACCTTACTTGTGTGTATGTATCTTACTTGTCCTTCACCCCCATGGAAACTCCTCCAGGGATTTTTGTCTGTTTTTCACCAGTGCATCCCCATCTCTTTAGAGCAGGTGCTGGGGTACCCAGAGGTGAACAGATCAAATGAGGTCACTACTTGTGTGGCATGAAATTCTATAAGGGAGACAAGTGCTATGACAAAAATGAAACAGGAAGAAGTGGTAGAGAGAACCAAGCCACTCTCACAGATTTGGTGAGGGTGAGGCCTCTCTACCAAGGAAGGTTAAACAAAGACCTCAGTGTCAAGAAGCAGCTGACTATACACAGGTGTGCTGGGGACCATCCCAGGCAGAGGGGACAGGCAGTAGAGGATGCTCAGGAAAGAAGGAGCTTGATAAGATGGAGGAAAGCAAAGGATTGTGTGGCCATTGCCCAAAGGGCCACTGAGTAAAAGCAAAGGAAGAAATTGAGGTCAGAGAGGGAGAGGAACCACAGGATCTCTCAGGCAGAAGGAGGAGTTTGGGTTGTATTATAAGTGCAATAGGAGACCACTTGAGAGTCTTAAATAGGGTAGTGTGAGCCTAATGTGTGGTTTTTGAGGATCATACCAGCTGGTGCATGGAAAACAAGTTGTAGAAGCAGAGGATGCCAGTGGAGTGATCTGTTCTAGAGCCTTCTCCAGCACAAAGCTTGACATATAGGTGAGCGTATGTTGACTTAAGCTACAAATGGATAGCAGCAAGGATGGGTTTTGTGGAGTCACTGACTTTACATGTGGAGGTAGAAAGACAAAAGAGAATGTGTATTAGGAGGCATGAGGGTTGCAAGTTCAAAGCCAGCCTGAGCTATGTAGTAAGACCCTGTCTCAAAACAAAAAAAAGCAAAGGCTGGGGATGTGGCTGAATGGTAGAGCACTTGCCTATCATGTGCAAGGCCCTGGATTTGATGGTGTAATAGAGAGCAAGCAAGAGAGAATTAAAACAAAATTCATAATTAGATCATTTCAAACCACCGGGTTATTTGTAAATGAAGGCCACATTGTATATATGTTTAGAAGACAAATGAAAAGAGAAGTCTTTCATGTATAAAAAGGTAGAACAAGGAGCAGATGTAGTCTCTTTGCTCCAGCTGGCCCTCAAGAGAACAGAAGGACATAGCAGCTATTTCCTGTCATCTATCAGAAGGCGAGAGAGCTTTGCCATATTTCATTTAGATGAATTAGGACAGTAAACATAAAGCACAGTCTGCCACAATCCAACAAGGAAGATGTAAACAGAAGCTACTCTGATCAGTGAGAAAGGAAAGGAAATTAATTACCAAAACAGGTTGCATATTTGTTTTGATTTCAAATGCTCCAAATATGTTTTTCAAAACAAATGTCTTCCACAGCACAGCACAGTTCATTGAGAAAATAACTCAGATGCTCATAAATTGAGAATAACTGTGAGGTACTCAGACATAATCTACAACATGTTTTTAAAGGATAGAAATCAAGCCCATCTGAACAACTTTGCTGTCAAGAATTCTGTGGGGTGTTAACATCATTTTGAATTATGAATGGCATGCACAGCTTATATTACAAAGCTTTGGAACCAGAAACAGAATCAGATGTATTCATTAATTTATTTATGTGTTTGTCCTATCTGTAACAACTGGAAAACAATTCCATTTGGAAATCTTGTTATAGAAGCAAAAAAGAAAATATTGTAACGATTTAAGGCTAGGATATTTTTGTATTTAACAGCTTGAAGATAAAAAGAAAAAAGAAAAATAGTTATTTAAAAAACTATAGTCTTTACAATTTCTTTCAGTCTTGCATCATTTCACCCCATGGACTATCATGTAAATATGAAAAGTAGTTAGCTTGCTAAGTCACATACCATATCTGTGATTTAACTGCCGTCACACACTGGTATAGAGTCACTTGTCAATTTGCAAATGTGATAGAAGTTGTGAAGAATAGTAAATATGATTTCTTCTGTTAAAAAGTCAACAGCTTCTCTTGGTTCTTGCTAAATTCTATTAATTGTGGATATTGGTAAATACGTGTGGATTAACTCTAGTTTGCAATTTCTGCCAAAAATAAAACCTCTCTCATCATTGTGAAATGATGTGGTTTAGTATTTCTTCTACTCTATTAAAACAAAAGAAAGTATCAACATATGTCTTATTTTCTCAAGAATTCCTAAGCAGAAATAAAATGTGGTCAGATAGCATTAATTTTTCCACCAGGAAGATTAAGTGTTCTAAACCCTACCATTGGTAGCTACCTTGTAGCAATAATTCTCAGAGAGGGACAAGTATGCCTTCTACAGAGAAGACTGCTGTTTGAGAAATTTCTGTTTTTCCATGCAACCTTTCATGCCTCATGTCTAAGGTCAGATGAGTATATCTTTGACACAATGGTACTTGGACCTAGCATTTTAAATATAGCAAAATGTAACATTACAAACTACAGGAGTTTAAAGAGGAAAAAAAGTATTTATCAGACAAACCTGGAAAAAGGGTCAAATTTGATGGATCCCTGGAGGAAGGAATACTGTTTTACTGCTCAGATAGAATACAGTTTTACTGCTCAGATGTCTACATTTTTACCTTGGGTGTGCATTTATTGGGAAAAAGAGGTGCTACGTGAGTGCTTCATCTTGTAGTCATTTCCTGTTCCTCACCCAGATTGTATTACCATCCTTCAAATGCTTTCAGTAACTCTGCACAACGATCTACAGGAACTGCACCCTTCAATTCTGTTAATTAGAGCATTGTCAAGGTCAGATTAAGTGGAGTTGCACAAGAAGCTGCTCAAAGCCTAACCCAAACTTTTGGAGAGGAAGCAATGATGCCAGTTTTTTGGCCTCTTTCTCCCTTCTAGTCCATCAAGTCACTTTTTTAATAGTGATAAGTCTCACTGGGAAATGACCAGCACCAGTGCTTTGCAAATGTGCTACAAGGTACCAAAGAAAAAACAGCCATAGTTGCACAAAATGAAACCCAGCTAAACAAAAGAGGAGACTTTATTATAAAGACACAGACATGGTTTTCCAACAAGAAATGCCACTGGATCCTAGAATAGAATGAGAACAAGACACAGAGGATGTTGGGAAAGTAAGTGTCAGTAGCAGTACTTCCTTTGTTGTGCTTGTTTTCTGTCCCCCAGTCAGAATGTTAAGTCTTGAAGGTAGGACAAGGATTTTGTTTATTGTTTGTTTTCTGAATTGGTTTCTCCATCTCTATATTCCTCATGCACATGTTCCTCCCATACAAATGAGTTTGTAGTGAGTTCACAGGGGACATTCTTACTAACATTTGCAGAAGCCAAAGTAATGTAGAAACCTTAAACTAAGTATGTTGAAATTTACCAACTGCTTTGTGGCTTTATCCTCAGCTCGTGGTCAAGGTACATATGAATGATAACAGCACAAAGTCACTGATGGTGGATGAGCGACAGTTGGCCCGTGATGTTCTGGACAATCTCTTTGAAAAGACTCATTGTGACTGCAATGTGGACTGGTGCCTTTATGAAACATACCCAGAATTACAAATTGGTAGGTTCTCTCCCCAGCAATAGGCTGGAATCCAAAAAGCCTTGTGAGTTTGTTTTATTATGGATTTTTATTCTTAAGAGTTTGGTTCAAGGCTCTCAAGATATATATCCTATATATCATTGCCTTTATGTGAGATTAGTGGTTGTCTCTTCATTTCTTTGTAGTAAAGACTCAGATTGCATCAGGTGGCCGGACCTTGGGGAATAGAAGCATTATCATTGTTACCTCTCTAGTGGCTCCATAAGGGACAGAAAGTGGCAGGGTGCTTCTTCTTCCTGCATGCCTAGTAAACTGAGCAGATTGTGGGAGAGTCTGGGTATCTGTCAGCAAATGTATCCCTGTAGAGGTCGCTTCCTTAAGCATACTGTAACGCTAACACAGACCTCCTGTCTATGCTCATTTTCCCTTCCTCCCTCCCCACTTGCCTAATTTCAGACATTTTGTCTAATGGAAGAGACTTAGCCCCAGAGAGGAAAGTGGTAGAAATTGATGAAGTTTTTTTTGAAAGCAATTTAAGAATTTCTCTGTTCCTTTTCATTCACAATAGCAATCCCAGGATTGTTGTCTCTCAGGAGAGCTGGGTGGGATCCAGAATTACCTGCTTTAGAAGTTTAGGGGGCACTTTTTTTTTCTATAGGAAATTTTCAGCACTAAAACAGTCCCTTGAAGTTTTCTCCAGGTGTAGGAGTCAGGAGAAAAATGAAACCCTTCTTTTAGATTTTTAAGTTTGGTTAGTCATCATTGTTTTTAGAGTTTTAGGGTGATGTTTGGTGGATCTCACATTTTCTTTCAGAGTGTTTAACCAATTATTGTTTTATTGTCTTCCCCACAAAGAGAATGTTTGCCTCAGCTGGGGATATTTAGAGTAAAAAATGCTAACATAAAAAAACCATGATAACTACCATTGTTATGATATTGTGGTTTCTGCCACCTATAATGTTTTTATGGAAGATAAATTGAAAACCAGATGCTGACAGATAAGTATAACACAAATATTACAGCAAGGTATCATGTAAGAATTAAGAGTTTTGGAAATCTTGGTGAAAATTGTGAGACATTGTTTAACTCAGTAACAGTTTGTTTCTCAATTAGAAACTGCTGTGTTGGGTCTGAAAGAATACCTTTTCTTATTTCATCAGAGAGGTTTTTTGAAGACCATGAAAATGTTGTTGAAGTCTTATCAGATTGGACAAGAGACACAGAAAATAAAGTACTATTTTTGGAGAAAGAGGAAAAATATGCCGTGTTTAAAAACCCGCAGGTAAGGTGACCTGCATATTGTTAAACTGTATAAAGTATAAAGGTTTTATTAAAAAATGTTATCTGTACAATGACTAAACCATTACCTCAAAAAATATCATAAAGGTACTCCTTTCAAATAAGTATAGACTCATCTCTTAGGTAAACTAAGAGCCCTTTGAAAAATTTAGAAAGAGAAATCCATTTTGCTTCTTTTCATTCATATCTATCTGTTATTATCTAACCCTTCTTTTCTGTCTGAATTTCTGTTGGGCTCCATTAATCCAGTACACTTTGGTGCACTGCTTGTCAGTAATTTTTTCTGTTATGAAGATGCTCTTTTCTTTGCCGTTTGTATTTGGAATGTATTGATACTGAGATAGCTAAGGAGAGCACCAGGAAAATGTGCGATATATTGTGACTTCCTCTTACAAACAATCAGCAAAGGTAGAAAGCATTATTCTCCATATTTGAAAATGCTTCCCTCAAGTTATGTACAAGTGTATCACTGAGAAGTCTGAGCCTTTCCCACTGTGACTTAAGCACTGTGATTGCGTAACAGTCATTACTTTTTTTTTTTAAGGAAAGTTGAAGAATGCTAGAGATGGAAGAGATCCCTAGGGTCATCCAGACATCTTTCCATTTTATAAGTGAAGAAACTGAGCCCTTTATCACTAGGGACAGAAATAGGAGATTCCAGGGCAGCTTCCTCATGGAAAAATGCTCTTTCTCCTGTACTGTGCTATTTTCTGGCATTTTCTCTGGATTATATGGTGGTCAACTGATGGCAAAGCAATTAAATACTTTGTTTGTAATAAATATCAAACACTAAATTACCAAATGTTCAACCTGTAACTACCTTCAATACCATGCATCAATGCCTGTATTAATGAGAGTACCATCTAAGCTGCTATAACAAAGAGATCCCCTACATCGGTGGCTCAAACAAGCTAGAAGCTTATTTCTCTCACACATATTGGTCCAGACATAGGTAAGTGGATCTAGTAGAATAGCTCTGCCGTCCTCAACATATAACACCCACCTCTGGGTCCAAGGTAGCTTTTTCACCTGGCTATTTTCTTACCCATAGGAAGAGAGGAAAGAGCCAGGGAAATGCACAACCAGATTTCTTTTTGCTTACATCCTATAGGCCAGAACTTGTATTGCATGGTTAAAGTGAGTACAAGAGAAGCTGAAGAATATGATGGCTATCTGAACAACCACTTGCCCAGCTTAAATCAGGGAATTATATACCAGGGTCACCATTTTGCATAACCCCTCCCCAAAATACCTTTAATAGATTACATAAAATGGTTCCAGGAGTTATGCAGCTTATCTGTTGTATAAGTAAGTAGAGGAAGAAAGAATGAGTATTAGTGGGTATCTGTATTTTGCCATGGTGTCTTATGAGTTAATACACATACCGTAACTCTACACTCCATGGATTTTTACAAAGTGAATATTCCCATGTAACTACCATCCACATCAAGACACAGAGCAATAATGGAGTTCCTCATGTCCCTTTCCAGTCTTTACTCCCTATTACAAAGGCCATCACTAATCTGATTTTTTTTTTTTTTTGGTACTGGGAATTGAATTTAGGGTATTGTGCTTGCTAAACAGGCACTCAACCACTTGAGCCATGCTCCCAGCAAGTTTTGCTTTGGTTATTTTTGAGATAGGGTCTTGCTTTAGGTCCAGGCCAGCCTGGACCACCATCCTCCTATTTATACTTCCTGCATAGGTGGAGAGACAGGCGTGCACCGCTATACCCAGCTTTTATTGGTTGAGATGGGGTCTTGGGAACTTTTTTGCCCCAGCTATCCTCAAACAGTGTGATCCTCCAGATCTCTGCCTCCTGTCTAGCTACAATTACAAGCATGAGTCACCATGCCTGATTATTCTGATGTTATTACCTTAATTTTTCCTCCTTTTGAACTTTATGTGAAACAGAATCATATCATAGTCTTCTTTTGTGTTTGGCTTTTTCTTTCCCATTCAGCTTTCATTTATGTTATTGCCTGTAGTAACAGTTTATTCTTTCCTCTTGCCATTTAGTAATCCACTGTGTGACTATACCAAAATATATTATTCATCGTGTTGTTGATGGACGTTTGAATTGTTTCTAGCTTGGGACTTAAACAAGTAATGCTGGCGGGAATATCTGGTACATGTCTCTTGTTGAATAGATGCAGATATTTCTCCTGCATGCATACCTGTGAGTAGAACTGTTGATCATAGGTTATGTTTATTACACTTAGCTTTAGCAAATACTACTGAGCGTTTTTCCAAAGATACTCTATCATTTGCTCTTCCTTTAGCATATAAAAATCCCTGTTGTGCATATCCTTGCCAGCTCTTGGTGCTGCTGCTTTGTTTTTCTTCTTTAATTTTAACCATGCTGTGGGTGTTTATTGGTTTGGTTTATGATTTTTAGTTGAATTTCTTCAGTGTCAGTGATTCAAAATTTCATGTTTATTCATTTGAATAGCCATTTGGGGGAAGTATTTCCATTTAAGTATCAACAAATTCCCTGACGGGAAGCATGGCTTCCTGAAGGTCTAGATACCTCTTTGTGGTTCCTTTCTTTCTTGGATCTTGACCCCTTGAGTCCTTGTTTGCCTCTGCAGCTCTCCAAAATCTTCACATGGATGCTTTTAAAATATAGCCTAGCTAGCTGTTTGGGAGACCTTTGGTCTACTGCAAGCTACTTTACATAGGGAAAATAAGAAATCATCACTATTAATTCTTTTGGAATCAAGTAACTAGATTCTCCTAATCCAAATTAAAGACCAGAATTAAAGTGGTAGCATTTTTGAAGTAGTCTTCTTTTTCTCAGTGTTTGGATTAATCATCCCTCCCCTGATCAGTGGCTTCCCACGACCTTAGGGTGAGACAAGGGTGGTGTGTTCTTTCTGTGCCCTGTGTGATTTCGAAATAACCTGAAATCCCCTTGTTTAAAAAAAAAGTCTATGCTGAGACCCCTTTTATGTTTTTATTTTTTAAGCTAACTTTATACCAAAAAGAATTTAAATCCCTCGGAAGGGTATTTCCAGAGGAAGTTTTTTATACAAACCCAAATGGAAGCGCTTTCATTGAATTGCCTTAGAATTTCTTCTCAAGCATTGTCTCAAGTACTTAGTTCAAGTCTAAATAATCCTGTATTTCAGTGAGGTTGACAGTTCTGTTTACATTGTAACTGCCAACATTGACATGATGTGATCAACCCTAGAACTGAATGAGCATTTTGATGAGCTTTGACTCACAGCTTAGGGCTCTGTGAGCATACAGGCTTGTCCTTCCTGCCTAAATGGTCCAAACCATGGTCCTACCTAGGAAGTGTCTGAACTTAAAACAGTTAGCTAGTTAAAAACTGACTTGTATGAAGGATTGGATTTAGCCAGAACTATAAAAAGGAAAGACAAATTCTGAGTGAGTTATTTGGTTGAGTCTCCACAAAAGTTTTCAGCATATTGAGTGTCTTTCTAATGTTGACTTCCATGAGGAGACTTTAATGGAATTCATTCCAATAGACATTTGACTTTCACAAACATTGATGAAGCGTCTGTTGCATGCATAATTTTGTGTTATTTATGGAGCATGCACAGATGAAGGTAATCTTCGCTCTCCAGCAATTTATAATCTAGCTGAAGGAAAAAAAAAACTTGTGCAAAATAATTGAAGCATAACTTCCGGGTTTAATGTGGACCCATGTAGGAAAGAGAATACAGAATGGAATGTTTTTAAGGTTTTTGTTTTGGTTTGGTTTGTTTGTTTTGAGAGACACAGGATCTTACTATATATCCCAGACTGGCCTCAAACTCATGATCCTTCTGTCTTAGCCTCCTGATTTATGGGATTACAGGCATGTGTCACCACTCTTGGCTTCAGCATGGTATGTTAAGGTAAAGTCCCAAAGGACAAACTGTACCAACAGAGTATAAAAGTCTTGGTAATGGTCTACACCGAGAAATGTACTCTTTCAATTGTGACATTAATTGGTAAAATTCCCAAGATCAGGCAGTTGAAGTTAGAATAGATATCAGCACAATAGAGCAATGAAACTAGGAAATTAGGCAGTCACCTACCTCCCCAACCCTATACCTAAGCAAAAGAATATCTGCCACACAGATGCATAGTTCTGTTGTTTGGATGGGGCTTGTTCCCCAGTGGCCCATGTTTTGGGAGCTTGGTCTTTAGTGTGATGGGAAATGGAACTGTTGAAAGGCAAGGCCTCTTATACTCTCTCTTCAACAAAATTAGAGATAAGGGCAAAATAGTTTCTGCTGGGTATAGAGGGGGTGGGGGGAGAGGGAGGGGGCAGAGTGGGTGGTAAGGGAGGGGGTGGGGGCAGGGGGGAGAAATGACCCAAGCATTGTATGCACATATGAATAATAAAAAAATAAAAATTTAAAAAAAGAAGCTAAATAAATAAATAAATAAATAAAAGAAAGGCAAGTCCTCATAGAAGTCCTTGGGTCAAATGAGGACCCTGTCCATGAAGAATATTAGGGGTGAAGAGTATTAGGGGGTTCTCCTAGGACCCTAAGTTAGTGTTCATTAGACGGTTATATAAAAGGAGCAAGTCTGTCCCCACCCAGCTCTCTCTGAATTCCTGATTCGAGATGTGTCCCCTGACTACTGACATTGTGATCTACCACGAGGTCCTCACCAGAGCAGAGCTGATGCCAGTACCATGTCCTTGAATCTCCAGAACTGTGAGCTAAGTAAACCTTTTTTCATCCTAAGTTGCATGTCTCAGGTATTTTGATATGTTAATGGAAACTAACATACAATTTCACTGTATGCCCTGAGGAAAGAAGGATGCACATTTTCATAGGTTTTCCAGTGTAGGTCCCTGAAATGCTTCAGAGTTCAGCTTCTGTCTTTTTTCCTTGGAATCTGCATTCATGATTTCAAAGTTAGTCTATTTGTTCTTGGCCTGTCCATAGCCTCTTTGATATATAAAAAAATATGGATTCACATTTATTATAACTTGATTAAGAAAGCACTTATCTGGCC